GGGCACAGAAGTTCTTTTTTAAATGTAGGAAAGGTGTTTGATATGATGGATCTGAGTTGCTTTTCATGTGAACTGTTGAACTAAGATGGATTACAAGTAGGCAAAAATGTTCTGCTCCATTTAGTAGATTCTTCTGTTCTTTGTTGTTAGGTACACACACTGTAAATCCATTCCTTCTAAATTCATTAAAATGTAAATCTTTCTGAAATGGATAATAGTTTTATGCCATGGACCTATTAGAGAAGGTCTCGAGTGTCCATTTGTGCCTTTCTGCCTTGGTTATGCAAATATAGTTATACACATTGGCCTCTCAAGTCTCTTCAAATTTGTGTGCAAGTTCGATTCACTTCTACTCCTTATTCATCATCAAGAGTGAACCAACCAAAAAAGAAAAAAAAAAGGAAAAGCTCTACCTTTGCTTGGTTAGTTTGGGTATTATACATGGAGGAAACATTCGTACCCTTGCGGGGAATTAAAAATGATCTTAAAGGAAGACTTTTATGCTACAAACAAGACTGGAGTGGTGGATTACGGGCCGGTATCAGGTTCTTATCCTTCATCATGCTCTTCAATTGTAATACATATATATTACAATGTGTTTTAACTTTTAAATACATAGCACCATTTCTATAGAGTTATGTTGTTCTCACTGATGACTCTACTTGGTAAATGTATTGCTATTCTGCATACCATCTTGGGCTAAGTCTTACTAGACTGTGTGTGTGTGTGTGNATATATTCTTTGCATCAGCAATTCCCGTTATATCTTTCGGGGAGCAGCTGGAAAGAAACACCAGTAAAAAATCATCTTTCGGTTTAAATTTTTAAAATTTTTTGCTACATCATTTTCTAATGTTTAATTAATTTTTGTACCAACTAAATTTAATTAAGTTTGCAGATGGGTCTTTAACAGCCGTCCAAACACTTGCATCAACCGCGCTATGTGGCGTTATCCACTCTGTCATAGGTGGGCAGCCATTACTCATACTCGGTGTGGCCGAGCCAACTGTCTTAATGTACACTTTCATGTTCAATTTTGCTAAAGAAAGGAAAGATTTGGGCCAGAAGCTCTTCTTAGCTTGGACAGGATGGTAAAATCGTCATTTTTTACAATTTTTGAGACATTCTTGATGAACATATATTGCTAATTTGCTATTGGGTATTGAAATTTGACACCTTTTTGTGTACTAGGGTGTGTGTTTGGACAGCCCTTTTGCTTTTCTTGCTTGCTATCTTGGGCGCGTGTTCTATCATTAACCGGTTCACTCGTCTTGCTGGTGAATTATTCGGGCTTTTGATTGCAATGCTTTTTATGCAGCAGGCTATTCGTGTGAGTATTCATTCATGTATTGTTTTGTGACTTTTGATCATCAACATGTTTCTAAATTTAGTTGCTAGTCGTTCATGGATCGTATGGTTTGAATTCTTTTCCTATGTGGGGCTTTCGAGTCCGTTGAAATTTCGAATAGCACAATAAGCTTTTCTACTGTTTTCTTGTTTTAGGGGGTTGTGGAGGAATTTGGTATTCCTAAGAGAGGAAATACAAAAGATGCGGCATTTTCGCCTTCGTGGCGTTTTGGAAATGGGATGTTTGCATTAGTACTATCCTTTGGCCTTTTACTTACTGCATTAAGGAGTCGAAAAGCTAGGTCTTGGCGTTATGGAGCAGGTGCATAAAACTAAAACTGCACGATATTTTTTTTAACGTAGAAATTGATGCCAAATGAAATTATCAAATGAAAAAAAAAAAGCAGAATATTCTTGAAATTTCTATGTGCCAAGTTAGTGTTATATTGTTATTTTTAAATTGGCCCTTATGCTCACAACATTAATTTACACATCTTTTGTAAAGGATGGCTTCGAGGATTTGTAGCGGATTATGGTGTGCCTCTTATGGTGCTCGTGTGGACTGCGATTTCTTATATACCGGTTAATGATGTCCCACGTGGAATTCCGAGACGGCTTTTTAGCCCAAATCCATGGTCTGCTGGTGCATATTCGAATTGGACAGTCATTAAGGTTCTTTTGCATCTTTTTCT